GATGTGTGAAAAGAAAAAATAGTAAATTAAAAATTAGAGATGTAAAATTAAAAATTTTAAAAATAAAACAAATTATAGATATTTTAGAATTTAAAAAAAATAAATAAAAGAGGTGTACTTATAAAAAAAAAGGGAGTGTATATATCATTAGCGAATAAAAAATTGCCAAAGGTTGGGCCTTACCTGTGTTTTCGGTTTAGCTAAAGGGAGAAGAAAAAAAACTCGCTTCAATAGCACACAATTCAACCTGCTAACCCAATAAAAAATTAATTTATTTTAACCTTCACCTAATTATTTATTTAGTGTGAGAACCTCTCTACATATATGTTATTTGTTGGATAATAATATTTTAATTTGTATAATACACATGTTAAATATTTATTATATATAACTATTATTATAAATTATATATATATATAAGTATTATGTTCATCTTCAGTCATGGTAATTGCTTATTACCAAATCATCATTGTAAATATGTTTATGAATCCATTCGCAATTTCGGATGTCATGTGTTGAATCCACAATAATTTGTTTGGAATGCATGTTGTGTGATTTACACTTGGATCTAATAACACAATTCAAAATATGTTGCTTTGTAAGTATTTGGTTCAATTATAAACCAAAACTATTTCTACCCGATTTCACCATCAATAATATAATAAAGCAAACAAGCAATTAACATTAATTACATATGAAAATAACCAATCAATATTAATCACAAATTCAGTAAAATTCACATCATAGCTTCTTTTCATTCAGCATTAATGAATTTTAAATAGCTGCTCTTTACTACGTACATTCAAATTTTAATTTTGATTTATTTTAGTGAGTTTTAATGAAGGTAGTTATTTTAGTTGTAAAAATATGCCACAAAAGTTACAGTCGTAAAAATAAAATAAAGATAGTTATTACACATTTCCCTAACTTTATTATGCTGTGCTCATTTTTTTATCGCCACAATTATAATGATTAAACATAATGAAATTTATAATTGCTAAATACAGCGAAAATATTATTTTTAAATATGATAGATTTTTTATTTATATATTAACTTAATTATTAATAATTTTTTAAATCTTAATACACGTGGAAAATGCAAATTTATGAGATTTAATTTTTCCCTTTTAAAATGTGAAAATTATAACTTGATATAATAATGTGCATCTTATTTAATTTTGCTAAATCATTCTTTTATTTTTTGTGATATCGCTAAATTATTATAAATACATTTGTGAATTCGAGTAACATGTTTTCATACATGACGCTTCATAAATATTAGCTTGATTATGAATCATGATTATTTTCTAACCAATTTCGTCATAAATAATATACTAAATAAAATAAGTAATCATCATTAACTACACATGAAAATAAGCGATCAGTATTAATCACATAAGAGAAATTTATACATAAGTTTAGTTTGTTCAACATTAATGAGTTTTAAATAGCTACATTTTATTTTTTACATTCAAATTTTGATTTTTTTTCCAGTTAATTTTTAGTAAAGGCAGTTATTACACGTTTTATTAGTGTGGCCATATTTTGTTACCACAATTAAAATAATTGCCAAATGTAATGAAATTTAAAATCTTTAATATAGTGAAATTTTTATCTTCAAATATGATATTTTTTTATTGAGTTAAACATATTTTTATTCTCCAAAAATTAATTTTGTTTGATTTTGGTCTCTCAATTTTCTCTCTCTTTATTTTAGTTATTCAAATTTATATAATACTTATTGTTAATTTTTTTCTGAACACCGATAATTTTTACGGTTAAAATAGGTCATCTCAACATCAAAATCACCATTAGTTTTTATTGGCATGTAACTTTTTTAAATTAAAATATTAATTATTTTGATATTAAGTTAAATTTTAGGATAAAAATTAATTTTACACTTAAAATCTTTCACTATTCATTCTCAAATCCAAACATAAAAGTTTTAGAAGTGATTTATTTTGCTTTTGTTCCTCTATTTTGCTTTCACTCTCATTAGAGGAAGCCAAGGACCTCATATTTTCTAAAAGGTAAGCAACTTGAAGCTTATGTTAGTATTAAGTTAAGTTTTAGGTAAAAATTAATTTTACACTTAAAAATTTACACTAGTCGTTTCCATACCTAAGCATGGAGGTTTTAAAAGTGATTTATTTTTTTTTTATATTTTTTATTTTTTTTATTTTACTTTCATTCCAACAGAGGAAACTAAGAGCCCCTGTTTATGAAAGACAAGCACCTTGAAGCTAGCTCGAAGAGAAAAGAAAAAGTGTTGTTTAGAGTAATTTGTATATTGAGAGTTTCGTTAATGATGAAATGTTTTCACCAAAAAATTGAGAATTTAGATCTTAGAGGGTTGCAAGAAAAGTTTCTAAATTGAACATGATTACGGTGTTAGAGAAAAGAAAAACCTTACTTTGAATTTGTGAGAAAAATTTATTTGAATTTGGCGGGTGACTTGTTGTTCAAAAAAAAAAAAAAATCATCGAAACCTCCATACCTACATATGAGAATGTAATAAAAAAATTTAAGTATCAAATTAGTTTTTACTTTCAAACTTAACTTAAACCTAAAATAATAAATATTTTAAATTACAAAATTTTATGTCAGTGAAACTAATTTCAACAATAATAATTAATTATGTTTAAAAAAAGATTAAAAAAAGTATTACATAAATTTGAATGACTAACATTAAAGAATTTTTTTTCAAGGAACTAAAATTAAATATAGTCAATTTTTGAAAGATCAAAAATATATTTAATCTTTTTATTTTTAATTAAAATAATTATTAATAATTCTCAAAACTTAATATTTATGAAAAATACAAATTCAGAATATTTATCATTTTTATTTTTCAAAATGTGACAAATATAATATGAAATAATAATGAGCGACTGTGATTTTGCTAAATTGTCATTCTAAGTTCATTTGTGAATTCATTCATATGTTTGAATAATAACTTCCAAGATTTATAATATACATTTTAATTATATATATGTTCAAATAACATGCCGCTGTTTTGTAAATACTTAACTTGATTATGAAATATAACTATTTTCTACTTAATTCTGACATTAATAATATAATAAATAAAACAAATAATTAACATAAGCTACATTTTTTTTAATAATAGAGATTATATGATGATAAGATTTAAATATAAAACTTTATATATATATATTATACTCTGTCATTAGGCTATATATTAATTACACAAGCTACATATAAATTAAATAATTGACATTGATCATAAATTCATTGAAATTCAAATTATAAGTACTGATAAGAGTATTTATTACAGATATATTAACACTATATCTCTTACAAAAATATACTTTTATTAATTTTAAGATTCGAACTTAAGATCTTAATATTTGAGAAATAACTAAAACATCAATTAAATTAATAAATGTTGATATTTGTTAATATATTTTAAATAATAATTTTATTACTTTAATATTATTATTAGTTTTCAATTATTTAATTTACTTTTAACATTGCATTTTTTAAAAATATTATAATTTACTTAAATGCTTATAGACACTTATATCTATAACTACTATTTTTTTCTTCTACAATTCACATGATGAAATTTCATTTTATATAACTAAGAAATTTATAATAAATAAATAATTAATATTTGTGTATAAAAATATATTATATATAAAATTTATAATAAATATTTTTTTATCATATAAATTATATTTTAATTTTATAATATATAATTTATAATTTTATATCATGACAAAAAAATTTTTAGCAATTGATAATTTTTTTAAAATATTAAAATTTAAATTTAAAATAAAAATGAGAAAGATAAATTTAAATTAGAAGGGTTAGAAAGTTAAAAAAATTTCTCAAAATATATCATTAAAGAACAATAAATTTAAAAAATTATGTTAAAAACTAATTTCTAAAAATATGATTGCATAATTTAATATAATTATTCTAATTATGGCAAAAGAGGAAAATAGAATGAATTATTATTAATTTTTAATATATATATATATATAGATATATATATATATATATTATCACTACATAAAAATTACATATTATTTAAGATAAAAAGTTATGAAAAATATAAAAGAAAATCCTAACCTCGTTTAACAATAAACGTTCTGCTGTATAATGACGTATAAAATTAACGCACTATAATTCTAAATAACTATTTTAATTTAATACATAAAATGTAAGTATTAGATAAAATTGAAAAAAATAGTTTTAATGCTATGTTGAAAAATGAAAAAAGTCATTTTGTTTAAAGGGTTAAAATTTCAATCAACTTAAAATAAAAATAATATTACGTAAATGTTGTGTAATATATATTTTATTATAATTAATAAATTTAGATTATAATAAGACATATTTAGCCATTAAAATTAACTTAATGATTCAATGGAGAGAAATTAAGATAATTAAAATTATAAAAAATATATTTAATCTTCATTATGATTATTTTTATAATTTTTTCTAAAATAATAAGACATAATTTGATATAAAATACAATTTCATATAAGATAAAAGGGAATCAATAACATCTTTCATTACTATTAGTAAAAATATAGATTGCGATCTCCCACAATTAATTTTGATATATTGTGTAATATTTGACAGGTCAAGTTTTTCTTCTTCTTTTTATGGAGATTAAAAAAAATTAATTACAGAAACAATTTCTCTAAAAAAAAAATTCATTCTTCTTCTCCGGTGAGATCTGGAAGTTATTTTATGAGATTCTTTTTCTCGACAATATTAAATATGAATTTTTTATTATTAAATTATTGAAGATGAAATATTTATAAAAGGATAAAATTGAAATAAATATTTAATATTTATTTATTTGTTAAAGGCTGAAAAGTCAAAGAAATTGAAGTGGAAAATTAAACTGGTTTTAATTTTGGTTCAAACGGTTACGGAGAAAGTAATAACGCAACGGATAAGATGATAACATAAGACTAAGAGTAATAGAAATGCAATGTCGTAATTGAGACGATGTGAAAGTGAAAAAGCAGAGCGAAAGACGCACGTGTCTTTTTTCACACATGAGATTGAGATGAGAGAGAGAGACTCTTTCTAGTTTCTAGTTTCTAGTTCAATGTCATCATCTTCTTCTCCTTCTTAAATCTTAATTAATTTCTCTCTCTCTCTCTCTCTCTCTGCCGCGATCTCGCTCCAACGACGCCGTTTCGATCTTCTTCTGCGTCGATTCAAACATGGATGAGACTTCGGCTCTCATCGAAGCCATTCTCAGGGAGCAGGAGGAAGAAGAAGAAGCTTACAGAAGAAGGAACCACGCCACCACTACCAAAAACGATAACAACGACTGGCAAACGGTGTCGTATCACAAGCGCAACCGCAACACCAACAACAACAAGTCCCAGTCCAAGCACCCACTCGCCCACGCCAATTCCGCCGCCGATCCTTCCTCCGACGTCTTCAGCTCCCTCCACCGCCACTCCGAGGACCGCCGCCGCCGCCTCCTCGAGGCGCAGTACGCTGCGGAGGCGCCGGCCGCCGACGCCGCGCCGAGCAGATCGAAGCGGCATTCCGACGACGAAGACGACGGAGATGCGGAGCTGGAGGCCGGCGCCGATCAGGACGGCTCCTCCGGGGTGAAGAAGCCGAAGCAGAAGAAGCCGAAGAAGCCGAAGGTGACGGTGGCGGAAGCTGCTTCCAGAATCGGCGCCGATGATCTCGCCGCGTTTCTCGCTGAAATTACTGTGAGTGTTTTCAATCTATTCGTGGTTGATCTGATGTTGTTTAGTTTCGTTTGTTGTTCGTTGTTCGTTGAATGTGATGAGGAGGAATGAATCGCGTTTTGCGCAGGCTTCGTATGAATCGCAGCAGGATATTATGCTGATGAGATTTGCTGATTACTTCGGCCGCGCGTTCTCGTCGGTGAGTGGAGCTCAGTTTCCATGGTTGAAGACGTTCAAAGAGTCCACCGTTGCGAAGATTGTTGATGTGAGTAATTCACTATTTCTATTCTATATTTTTTTTAAGCGTAATTGGAATAAGATTAAGCGAAAGAAGTACGGTTCTGTGATGCGCGCGACTTTTGGTAATAATGTATAGAATTCTGAATTGCATGAGTATGCTCCGATCTGATTATGTTATTTTAGACTGTTCGTGAAAAAATGTTGCTGAAGTTTCTGTAATGATCTTTATGGTCGTTGTTGTTTTCGATGGTAGTGGTACTTGCTCAGTGATTATTGTTAGTGTTGCTTACAACTCTACTTTGCCCAACAGATCCCTCTTGTGCATATATCGGAGGATATTTACAAAATATCAGCGGAATGGATCGGTCACAGATCATATGATGCACTTGGTTCGTTTGTGCTATGGTCGTTGGACAGCATTCTTGCAGACCTTGCCAGTCACCAGGGAGTTGTTAAGGGATCAAAGAAGGTGGTCCAGCAATCATCATCGAAATCTCAGGTACCCTTTGAAATCATGCCATTACATGCCCCCCAATTTGACGTAGTCACGTAGGTCTATATATATATGTATTTGCTTTTTATACGGTACAAAAAGAAATTTTGCTTCTTTGTTGATTTGTGTCTCCCTATGGGCAAGTACTTATACCTGTGAGAGATGGTAAATAGTTGGTTCTGTTGATTCAGTTTGCTGACAGCCTGACACCACCTAGTGAGTTAAAATTTTGTTGTATGTTGTTATTGCCTCTTAGGATGTTATTGATAATGAAAAGTTTTTTTGACTTTTTCGTTTATTCTTTACTGTGGACTTTTATAGATGACTGTTATTCAACTTTGAATTTCTCCTTAGTTTAGTTTCTTTACTAAGTTATTCCCTGTTTAATATGAAATATAGAAATATTTCAAGATAAAATGACCAATTCTTAAGTCTGTCTTAGATCTTGAAATTTTTTGTTGTGGTTCCTTAGCTTTGTTAGCAACTGAGATTGACTAGTTTGTCAAACTGTGAAATTGGGTTATTTATTTTAAGTGTCCTACGAGACTGAACAGCTATGCATTAAGATTTTAGGATAACAAGGATATGTGGTAGAGGCCGAGAGGGGAAGTTTGGATGTGAGTTATACCTCCTTGGACAGTCTTCTATTATAGAATTTTTGGGATGAAGCCAGATATCAATATCAATAAGGAAAATTTGTGAAGGAGGCCCTCTCAATAAACTTCTTGGTGTTCTAGCCTTCTAGGATCAACTTGGCTCTTGACTGACTCTTTTCTATGAAATTTGTTTTTATATATATATGTATGTATGTGTGTGTGTGTGTATATATATATAATATATATATATATATATATATATATGACGAGTATTCGTTGTTGCAGTTCGCAATTAATGAAGTAATATATATATATATATATATTTTCCCCCCCTACTTATTGATGATTGCTACATGCCCCCAAATTTGATTGGATGTTTATAAACTTTTTTAATATCAGTAAAAAAAATATGTTAATTTAATGTTGTAATGACATGTTAATTTGAGCTATAACATATTATTGAGTGAATATTTGGTGTGACTATTGTATATCGCTTGAACTACAGGTTGCCATATTTGTGGTTTTAGCAATGGTGCTTCGACGAAAACCTGATGTCATGATTAATTTATTGCCAATAATGAAGGAGAGTCAAAAATATCAAGGACAGGATAAACTCCCTCTCATAGTTTGGGTGATAACTCAGGTGAACTTTTCAACATGATTTTGTTCTCTCACCCTAAACACTCGTGAAGATTATTTATATGGATTTGTAACTTGATTTTGATTTGTGTAGGCTTCTCAAGGGGATCTAGTAATGGGGTTGTACTTGTGGGTATCTCTTCTCTTGCCCATGCTGAGTGCGAAGTCTGGTTGCAATCCACAGTCAAGAGACTTGATATTACAGTTGGTTGAGAGGTCAGGAACCTTTGTGATTCAACACTAACCTTCCCTTATTTATTGCAACTACGGCAGAATTTCTAGCTGATCCTTCTTGCCTTTAATGGTTTGTTTCCATTTATTCTTTCTTTTTTGAAATAGAATTATCGCATTTCCTAAAGCTCGTTCTATCTTGCTGAATGGGGCTGTCAGAAAGGGTGAGCGTGTTGTACCCCCATGGGCTCTTGATTCTCTATTGAGAGTTACTTTCCTTCTTCCTTCAGCCCGGATCAAGGTAGAATTTTTTTAATAGATTCTTGTGTATATTCTAATCACTTGCATTGCAATAGTTGGTTTATCTGAGATACTCTTCTGGTATATGTATTTGTATGTTTTATTAGGCCACTGAAAGATTTGAAGCTGTTTATCCAACATTGAGAGAGGTTGCCCTTGCTGGGACACCTGAAAGTAAAGCAATAAAGCATCTTGCACAACAGATACTAAGCTTTGCAATTAAAGCTGCGGGAGAAGGTAATGTTTAGTAAATATAGATTGTCATCAACTATCCCATTTGCGCATGTTATTTTCTTTTTGCAAATTGCGGTTTGTATTATTAAGAGTTGAAGGACTTGGTGTTGTACTTTTGTGTGAAAACTTAAATGCTGGAGCCTTTTTTACAGCCAATCCTGACCTATCAAAGGAGGCAAGCGACATTTTTATTTGGTGTTTGTCTCAGAACCCCGAATGTTACAAACAATGGGTGAGTACAAGGAAATGATATTTAATAGTTTTTCTTTTCATTTGTTTCCTACACTCTTTTTTCCTAGTGACTCCTTTCCTACTTGCTAACACAGACATGTATTTAATACTGGGAACAGGATTTGCTTTATATGGATAACCTTGTAGCAAGTGTTAATGTTTTGAGAAAACTTTCTGGTGAATGGAAGGAATACCTTGTCAAACATCCTAATCTTGATTCTTTGAGGGAAACTCTTAAGAGCTTCAGTCAAAAGGTAAACTATTTTCTTCTTTAGTAAATACAGTCGCACGATGGTTTGAGAAACTCACTTTCTAACTGCAATGCTGCATGTTATGTAAATCTGTCTGAATGCACGTTGAAGCCTTGGTCTATTTTACATGTTCTTGTTGAGGATGCGTCTTATTTTGAACCTAAATTTACTATATTTGTAACTTGCAAGAAAAAGTAATGGCATATCTCAATCTGTCTTTATAGAATGAAAAGGAGTTGGCTAAGGTGGATGATGGTGCTCGCCATGCATTATTGAAGGATGCAGACAAGTACTGCAAAATCATTTTGGGGCGATTGTCACAAGGCCATGGATGCATGAAAAGCATGGCAGTTTTTTCTGTTGTTCTTGCTGTTGGAGCCGTTTTCTTGTCCCAGAACATGCATTTATGGGATTATAATAAATTGACAGAGATGTTGAACCTCTCCTAGGTTGAGAGAGTTATCCTGTGGCTCACTCGGTTCTTATGCCCGGCGTGAATGACTTCAGCCAAACTAATAGTGAGGTGTGATGAGGAATATTTAATTTATTCCAGTCTTCGACATAGTGAAATTAAACAAGAAATAGGAGGAACAAAGCCATGGAAGCTTGTGCTGGCCATTTATATAGGTGTTGATGTGTGTTCTCAAATTTTAGGTCAATTTGAAAATTTCTTTCTTAAATTTTTTTTATAGTGGCTTGTTATATATTGATTTTCAGATAAAGTGCCGAAGGGCTATAGAGAAATGCAAATCAAGGAGAAATCAAGATGTGCTTGAAAGCAAATTTTGAAGTATTTAAATTCTTATTTGTTCTGAATTTAGTTTGTTACATATATTACTGTTATATTTACAATCTTTGGGCTTAAATTAGCGTTTGAATCAGCTATGAAAAATAAATGTTTTTTATATAATGCCTTTTCTTTTCTCTCTTTAAACTTACTTTTCGAAATACTTAACAACGTATTTCATAGTATACATTACTCAAATTATAATTTTCCATTTGGAATATCCTTTTTCAGAAGATGCGCTATAAATGTAATACTGTAATAGCTTAATTACGAAAGTTCATCCAAGTGTTAGAAATTAGAATATACAGTATTATATGTTCGTTTATGTAAATATAGTTTTTTGATCTTGTTTTTGTAAGAATAATCTGTCCAACAATATTTAGGAGATAAGACTGGTTTAAAAAGTTCACTTTCACCTACTCTCAGTTATACTAGTTTGACTGACCCTAACAAGGAGATAGGTGAGCCATTACACAAGTAGTAATAATGTGGTATGAATCGATATCCCGAGGATCTCATTCATTACTTGTAACAAAAAGGGAAAGAAAGTAGGGAAAAGTGGTCTAGATTCTTTTTGAAGAAAATGGTTCCTAGTTTACGAGAATGCAAGAATTTTCTTGAAGGCATGATTTTTTTTTTCTCGTATATTAATTTTAAAACAACCCCAGTGAACATATTTATTTATAACCAGTCAGCATCACACCCTAGTACCCCCCCCCTAAACCTTCGTTTCATTTCATTTTTTAGTGTTATTTCTAAGGTATTGTTTATTTTCGCTGATTTACTGTTCACGACGAATGAAAGGCGAAGAAAGTAGACGTTTGTTTCTGTTGATTTGCGAAGAAAGAAAGGCGAAGAAAAGCAGGAGAAGCTCCGTTGCCGTCCTCGTGCTTTTGCGAAGAAAAAAGATAAAAGCCATGTAAGATTTGAGAAAACCCGATAATATCCCTGTCCCATGCATGCAGAGACTGTGCCATTGTAGATAAGCTTCATTTCTTTATGCATGAAGGAGGATAGGAATGAAGCATAATCGATTATGCATGACACATAATCGATTATGTATGCCAGCCCATAATCGATTATGTGCCATACATAATCAATTATGTTGGCATATTTTCGCTTCCAGGCGAAATCAGAACGGGTCATTCCAACACTGGATTTTATGAGCAATATGTGAACTCAGAACGGGTCGTTCCACTTTGGGACGGGACGTTCTACTTTGGGAACGGACCGTTCCACACATGGCCGTTGTGAGTTAATTTGTAATCCAGAACGAGCCGTTCTGGTCTGAGAACGGGTCGTTCTAGATATAAAATAATGTTAAAAAATATAATTATCATAATATATTTTGTTATTATTATTTATTATTATAAATATTATTATTATTATCATTATTATTAATATTATTATTATTTATGATAATTAGTATCATTATTATTTATTATGATTCTTATTATTTTTCTAATATTTATTATTATTATTATCATTATTTATTATTTTTTTAATAAATTATACCTATTAATATAATTTTATTGTAATTATTATTATTTACAATAAATAATATTATACTCATTTTTAATCTAAGGGTAAAAGTGTAAATTATATATTCATCTATTAAATTTTTAATTTTTATTTATCATTAAATTTAAAGCAAATATTTAAATTAAATTATTTTTAAATTAAGATTTTATATTTATTTTTTTAGTTAAAATTTTTATTTATCTTTTAATTATAATAATTATAAACTTTTTTAACCTAAGGGTAAAATAGTAATCTTACAAAATCATTAATTAAAAAATTTATTTTTATCTATCACATCAATCAATTCACTCAGAAACTTTCACAAACTTTCTCTGCACTTTCCACTCACTTTCCCTTCAAATCCCTCTTTTTCCACTCCCTCTTTTCCATCCTCAAATCCAAACAAAGCCTAAAAGTGTTCATTTCTATTTTTATTTTTTAATCAGAAAATTGTCACTTATTTTTAAATTTTTTTATATAGATTTGTACAGAAAATAAAGAAAAAGAATTTATTTTAACATTTCCTGAACAAATATTTGAAACACATGAAACAAGTTGAAAATAAAAGTAGGAATTTTGTAATTAAAATGTGAAATTAGGAAATTAAAACATAAATAAACTAAATTATTATTATTTTCTAAACAATTTTGAAGTTAACTTTCTCATGTTTAACTTATTATTAAAAAAATAACATTGTTTCTTAAAAAAAATTATTTATGTTTTTTACAAAATTATTCTCACTGGGAGGTGAAAATGTAACTTATTTGAATTGAAAGAAAATTTTTAATAAGGTAAAAAACCTCATTTCCTTCCTAAACTCATTTAATGTGGGGAAAGTTTTATTAAAACTAAAAGTAAGAATATTTGATTCTTAAGATCATAATTATCAGAATTAATAATGAAATCATGATTTATTGGCATGAAAAGATTCTCCTTTTACCAAATCAACCTTAAAAGGAAATTAATGGTTTACTTCAGCTACAGTATTATTTATCGGATCATAAAGGACTGTTTCTCCTCCAAGAAAGGGAATTGCAGGAATCATTTTTGGGCTCTGATTTAAGTTGACCAGGCCAACCACTCTAACACACTAGCAGAGTATAGAAAGTGCGTTTTAACACATTCAACAATAAGCCGCCCAAAGTGTCGAGTGTTGACCAACCTTGTACGTGATATGCATAAGTGCATCATCATTAGTGGAGATGCATTTAATTTACCAACATTTTTCTCGGAACAAAACTTAAGGAAATCAGTGGTGTTTTCAATTCATGAAGAGCATAGCATAAATGAAAGGAAAATGTTTGATGAACATCAAAAAGGATTTTGGGTGGTGTCATTGAGGAAAAATTATTAGTTAGTCAAGAATTACCAAGTGTCTATGGTCTCAACCAACTACTCCATAACATGTATTTAAGTTTTAACTAATGAGAAAATAATTATTATATTTGATTACATGTCACATACAGATTAGTTATTGATCATGTGATCCAGAATCACCTAATAACTTCTTGATTTTGAAAAATTTATATGTGACAAAGATGAAAAGAGAGGATTCAATAGAGATTATTATATATGATATTAAAAGTAGTGACAACTTTTCTATGTTGAAATAATGGAATCATGTATGTTCAAATGCAAATATGCAATGCCCCAAGAATAATCTTCTCTATGCTCTTGATTATACAATTTACTTGTAGCATTGTTGTCGATGTGAAGATTAATACTACAATGCTGTAACATATTAACTGCGAATATTATTGAAGTGAATATTTAGGTAATATCTTTAACCATTTGTTCACAAAGATCTTAACATGTCAAATAATTATCCAAAAAAGTACCCAGTTTTTTTTAATATTTTTATTTTAATCTTATTATTCTCCATCACTATTCTTCATTTTCAACGTATTTTCATCTATTGAAATAATATTAAATAAAGTTAAATTCGTAAATGTTATTTAAGAACATTATTTTTAATATATGGGTTCATTTAGGCCTTGTCTTAGCCACAAGATGCTTCTTCATACATTAAAAATTTTAGTGCTTCCCTATAAAGGGTTACAGCAGCATTAAAATTTTAGTGGTTTTTGCTGTGATATTATCATTTTGATTGAACTAGTTGTTATTTGATATAAAATTTACATAATTATTTTATACATTATAATATCTTGATTGATTGTCTTCTCTTTGTTGATTAATGCTTTTTCTGAGCGATTTCCTCCAGGCACCCTATAATTTTCATGTTGGTGACATTTTCAACTTGCACAAATTAAGAGCTGAAGATAAATTGTAAGTTTGTATATATATTTCATTCTCCTTTGATAACAAAATAATTAAATGTTCAAAGGTTTATGCTTAAATTAAAGATGAAAGAATATAAATGAGCTTTTGTTTTCTGATATCATATCTTTTGTAAACATGGTGCACCAAGCTGACATATTTATAAAAAAAAAATGAAATAATAAGAGAAAAATATGCTGAGCATCCATTATTGTTCTAAACACACATCAACATCATGTGGCAAGTTTGCAGACAAAGAAGCTGAATGAACCAAATGCAAAAACCTGAATGATGTGATAATTGATTTCCTTCTTCACACTAGAACCCAAAATGAGGATTAGCCTTGGATTAATTTTTGAACTTTCTCAAAATTCTCCCCATATAGAACAGATGCATTAATTAATCTCTTAAAAAATCCAATAATTCATATTGCATACAACAGTAAAATGCATGTTCACTCACATGTCCATCCGTGCACGAGGACATCAATTGGGATCAAAGAAAAGAAAAAAGGAAATTTGGGCCCCATAAAAGGTAATAATAATATAAACGTTGAATTTAATTGAGTTCAATTTCCCCAATTAAATTTCTTCCAGCTTTCCATTATCGCTACTTGTGGGCTTGGCTCTTCATTATCGCTACTTGCTCCAATTTTCTCTTCTCCTTTTGAGTGTGGGCCGCGCCCACTTGAGTTCCTCATCCATTAGGTTTTTATAATCTATTAGAATTAGAATTATAATGATGATAATTTTTAAAATTTTAATGATAATAAGATTTGAATATTAAATTTTTTTAAATATAAAATTATATATATATATATATATAACTCCAAATGCAATTTAGTAAATCCAAATTAAGAATAAATTTTTTGTGCATCACTAAAAAAATTATAAATCATTGACATCATAAATTACTTCCTCTTATTTACAAATAAAGATAATGTTATCAATCTCATTTCTTTTTTGAAATCATCTATCTACAAAAATATTTCTATGCTTCTAAATTATACATGTTTATATGTCTCATGTAATTATATTGTATTTTCATATCTTTTAAAAAGCTTAGACATTTTATTAATACATATGGGTTATAGCCTTATAGGTGAAGTTTTTTTTTTTTTTGGGTACAATTATTGGAGAAGGTTTGATTTAGTTAAATAATTGTAGTAAAACAATTTTTTTTTAGGACAATAAAATAAAATTTGTCGTGAAACCATTTTTCCAGAAAAACAAAATCTGCTAATAATCCACGATTTTTTTTGTAACTACAAATGAAATCATTACAAATCAACCAATTCGTACTGTGTTTGCTTACTGCAAGGTACAGTTCGTCATCACTTGAGTATATTACTGTATATTGTTAAGTTGTATTGGAAAAATATCCATTAATTAATTAATTCTTGATACTAAATCAACGCATGCAACAGTAGAGTGAATGTTCATTCACATGTCCAACCGTACAAGAGGACACGAATTGGGATCGTAGAACAAAAAAAGAAATGTAGGGCCCATAAATTCTTTGACCTCATTGGTCTCCGATTAAAATTTTCATATATTACATTTCTAGTTCTTCGAATTATACAGTGCCGTGTCTTTTGTTACATTTGTTACTTAAATTGACATAATAACAATAATCTATTAAATACTTTGTAGTTTCAAAAACTAATACCTCATAATACATATTAACTCATACTTATTATTTTTAATTATTATTATTTGAAACAGTTATTTGAAACAGCTATTTACCTCATAATACATATTAACTCATAAATTGTAGTGATAATAACAACATAAAAAAAAAAAAGAAATGAAGATTGAAGAGGGACCTAGGAGCATGTTACTGAGTTGACAAAAGCAAATAAAAACAAATGTAACAAAAGACATGCCGCTGTTATCGCTCACTTTCTCTCAACCACCCTTTTCAATGCCTTAAACAACGCCAATTCTATTGCTAATTGATAATTCCTTTCTGTCTTCCAAATATTTTTCACTGTTACCTTTAATCATTTGGACCCTCTCTTATTCCTATATATATCCCTTCACTTTAATAACAAATATTCATTCTTCTCTTTTTACCTTGTTCACTTGACACATCATACCAATGGCAGGACCATCTTTGAGCCCTATCATGGTTGCCCTCTCTTTGCTTCTTTTGGTCACATTCTCTAATGTAGGCGTAGCTGAGGTACATACAACAATAACTCTTTCGCTTACCACATTCATCATATTCATAATCCTCTCTAGTACCAACTATTAACACATCAAAATACAACTCCACTTATTCTAACTAGCAAATTTTGTGTCTCATATTTTAACAGGCTTACACACGCAGTGGAACACTTCGACCGTCAGGTATGCAAGATCATTCTTTTTATTAATTACAATTATATTCACGGTATTAAAGTTTGAATCTAAGATCATATCATATATTTACTATTTCAATCCTCCCATTACTAGATCGACTTTAATCATTTTACAACATCACCTTCTTAAACTAAGAAAATATCAAAAATCCCTAAATTTATTGACTCAGTAATAAAGGTTTGGGTAGTATAAACATGATTTTTTATAAAAATTTGTAATCATTATTATAATACCTTTTGACAAACAAAAATCCTAAATTTAATAGCCTATTTTCATTTTGATTTTTAAATCTGTCAATATTAACATATTAGTTAATGGTCAATTTACTCTTTTAAAACTCATTTGACCTTTTTTAAACATTACAAACTAATATTACACATTCCATATTTACTTAGTTCAATGTGTGTCTCCAATTTTGCATATAAGAAGCAAATATTTTTATGTTTACCGGATCTAACTAGTAATCATATTACTTTAAGCTTTTAAGGGGTTTAACTATTATTAATGAATTTGTATGCTAAATGGTAATATTGTGATTAATTAAACAGATTGTAAGCCAAAGTGTACTTACCGTTGCTCTGCAACTTCACACAAGAAGCCATGCATGTTCTTTTGCCAGAAGTGTTGTGCCAAATGCCTATGCGTTCCTCCTGGCACATATGGCAACAAGCAAGTGTGCCCTTGCTACAACAGCTGGAAGACAAAGGAAGGAGGACCCAAATGCCCTTAAAACCCTTTCCTATTATATTCATACATATATATAAGCATAAGCAATGCTATTAATTGTATGGTAGCATGGGGGCACATTTTGTTATGTTCCCTTTGTTTTTTCATATATTAGTATACTTTATGTTTCCTTTATGTTTTCAGAGGGAAACTATTTTTTGCATATTGTATTTTGGGTACTCTACATATTTTAAATGTCTCTAAGGTAACCAGGCATTTGAGGGAGAGAAGAGCATGCTTCCCTTTGACAAACATGCATATTGAAAAATGTGTCTTTGGATTGTAATTGGGAAACGTTTCTCTCTTGTAACTTTTACCCAAATCATAGGGTGAAGTTCAAGCAAGTTAAAATCATAATTGCAAATTTTAGTGACACGATGGTTGGCATATAAACCATACAGGTTAAGTAGTCTGTAAATTTTGAAAGCTACGGTTAATGGTAAACTTTTTACAAAAATATTTCTTATGATTACATATCACAAAAATAATTATTGGTAAAGTTTAAAGATTTATGAAAGTAATATAAATTATTCATGTATGAAATTAGAAAAAGAGCTAAGATTACTAGATATATTAGCAAAATGAGAAATGTTATCGATATATTAACAAAATATTCATGTATCCAATTAGAAAAAGAACAAATCACTTAGTTTAAAACAACCTTGATTTGAACTTCAATTTAAAAAAAAATAATTAAGAAACTTGTAAATAAAGTCACAAAACATCCCATAAATTCATTTTTATGACAAATTAAACAGATAAACTAAATAGTCAACAATTTTAAATGAGTTACATTAATGGTACTTTAGATTGTATTATAGATAAATGCTTACACACTTTTTGACTTGATTTTTTGGCCACTTTATTTTAATTGGTTAAAATTTATTGGACAATATAAAAGTTAATAGGTTTTATAGTTTATCATTATAAAAAAAATTATCAAGTAATGACACATACTTTATAATAATACAATATTTGTTATTAAAAATTATCTTTACTTACACTATAAATATAATATATAGTAATATATTGTTAAAAAATATAAATATAAATTATAGTGACACACAATATATGTTATTGAATCTTATTCAAAATGAACATTAAAATTATATATAATTATATGTGAAAAAGATTTATATTTACATATATTATATATATAGTGATACTTTTGTATGGTGTATTTAAGGATTTTATTTTTTTTACTATGTGTGTAACGACCCAGCTAGTCACTACACACGGCACATCACACAGGAAACATCAGACAGATAGAACAAGTATATAATATGAATCTAGAATATATGTATATACAAGGTTACAATCCGGCTAGAGTTAGAGTGTACAACAAAATACATCAAAGCTACTACACCCAGTAGCTAAAACAACAAAACATTTACACAGATCAGCTCCGTCTGTCAGCCATGGACCTACCGCCAGCCACCAACCTATCCCTGCTCTGCTCCCATACATAGTATGATCATTGCAGTCCAAACATCATGGAGGCAACAAAGGGTAAGCTAGCGTAAAGAAATCGACATACATACATAAATATGTAAATAAAAGCATCTACAGCTATCAGCACACCCGTACAGCTTATACTACACCACAACAAATTCAGCAATATCAGCACCGCTCAGCACTATAACAACACCACAATATTGGCTAACAGCACCGACATAGCGGCTATAACAGCACTATAATAGTGGCTAACAACACCGACATAGCGGCTATAACAGCGCCGACATAGCGACTATAACAGCACCACGATAGTGGCTAAACACAGCATACAGCTCAGCAATAAACAACACAGCAAAACAACTCACAGCACAGCACAACAAAATCAGCATACAACACAACTAAGTAGTATTTAACACAGCTTACTACTCAAAACTCAGCTCATCATTCTAGAGCACAACCATATTATAAATCAACATTTAAAATCATCAATAACAGCCCAGCTCAGCATAGCGATATACATCTATTACAACTTAACATCATTTTTTTTAGCATTTACACCTAGTCAGCACAACATATTTATCAATTACATCTCAGTTCAGCAATTACAGCATAATTCAACAACTATCAGCATATCATTCAGCTCGACTCAAACAATAAGGTTCAGCATTAGCATCACACAGCACAACACAACTTTTCATCACACGACATTGACACCATTAATCAGCATAAAACCATATTATCAGCAAATTCAGCATATAACTTCACATTCTCATACGCGCCCGGCACACTCATGGTCGCGCCCGGCGTGACACAACCAGAGGGCTCCAGGGCCAGCGCGCCCGACACAAGCGTGCCTGCGCCCGGCGAGACTTAGCCAGAGAGTCCAAAGCTCTCTCGCGCCTGGCGCAATACCCAATTGCGCCCAGCGCAGGCCAGGCAGAGACTCCAAGGAGTCTCACACGCCCGGCGTGCCCCAACCCGCGCCCAGCGCAGGCAAGGCAGAGACCTCCCTTGGTCTCGCGCCCAGCGCAAACCAAATTGCGCCCAGCGCCCTCGAGGCAGAGACTCCCAAGGAGTCTCACGCCCAGCGCGACAAGGGCCGCGCTCAGCGCAACACATCAATATCATCATTCAGCTCAATAACATTCATCATTAACAGCTTAAAACAGCATGATCAACAACTTCACAACGTACAACATGTTCAACACATAATACGACCCAACCATCTTGTTTACAACTCATCTATCTTGTCAAATTACTCACCCAAACAACACCAATACACCTAAGCACCTAAAACAACTTTCAACTTAACCAAATCACTAAAAGTGAAATGGTAGCTTTCACAGAAAATAGCGCATCAGGAGTTATACTACTCCTACCATACTCATCCTTATCTCATATGAAAGATAAGAAGATTTCCTAAAACTCTCATGAAGACACCAAGTCCTAATTCCTTCATCTACCTTGTTAAAAATTCTAAAAACCGCAACAACTATAAGTAATGCTAGCAGCTTGACCCCTCTTCACTAAAACAGTCATATCTAGAGTTCTAAAACTCTTTTTTGGGTGATTCCAGCGCCATTGAAAAGCTAACATCCAAGACTACAACTTTCATGAAGACTATAAAGTCCAATTCTGAAAATCAAATGCACGACCGGCGCATTAAAAGCGAGCCCGGCGCAATTCTCAACCAGAGACCTACAGAGGTCTATTGCGCCCGACGTGGTTCTCCTCGTGCCCAACGCGATTCACCCAGAGATTTCCCATTTCAAATCACGCCCGACGCGAAGAACTGCGCCCGGCGCAAATTCAAACAGAAACTCTTACCTACTTCGAAAATTTCATCAAAACCTGCGAAAAATACTAGGAAACCAACATGCAAACCATCCAAAAGTTTACACTTCCATCAAACATCAAGAAAAACAGCTCATTTTCAACATGCATCCAAAATCAAGGGAAAACCCCAAAATTTCACCCAACCCCGAAAAACCCCGAAAACTAGTTTTTCTTAAATCTCAGCCAAAGATCAACCACCAACAAACAGCAAATGAGTTTCTAAGACTCATTCTCAACCAAAAACAGCAAAGTAACTAGCTTCCCTTACCTCGGTGAAGAATCCGAGCTTCGGGATCGCGGAGAATGGAGAAGAAGATCGGAAAAGATGGTGAACGGAGGAGGAAGAAGGAAATCCGTGCGTCCACAAGTTCTTCCACCTACTCAGCAACCAAGCTTACCACAGCCACCACAAAGAAGAAGGAATCAGCCACCAGGAAAGGAGAGAAAAGGAAATGAGAGTGAGTGAGAGTGAAAGAGTGAAAATGAGGGGGGAGAAAAAGAGAAAGAGGGAAGGGTCTCACAATGTGATTTTCAATAAACTTCAAATAATAAAAAGAGTATATTAAGAAAAATATGTTAAAAAATTGTATTGTTAGGATTCCTTGGCTAATCTACGTGGGTCGTGAATAAAACGGTTGTGGCCCACGACCGATCCATTTGCTTAACTGTCCACACAAGTAACAAAATCAAGTGGATATCCTTTTTATAAAATAAAAAAAAAACAATTATAATTAAATAATAAAACTATACAAATGTGTTGTGATGTGTGTGCGAATGAATAGGTTGTCATACGTGTACTCTCAAAATATCAATCAAGTAATTCAACTGATCACTATTCACATGTGATTATGGGCTTTTTTTTTTCTTATATAAACTTTTTTTTGAATAAAATAGCATTTTTTTTTACTTTTTCATGTGTTTCTTCAATTTTTTTTTACAATAAACAATATTATGATTTTTTTTATAAAAAAAAATACTATCTATGTTTTTAGTTATTTTTTTAAAAATATTTTATTTAAAAATACTTTTTTTAAGTTTAAACAAACAAACTATATATCTGATGCTTATTAAAAATATATTTGACCAGTAATTTTATACATCACAAACTAATAATTATTATAAAAAGTACACATTCATTGAACTCTATTTATGAAGAAAAAGTGCATAATGAAAGGAGAGAAAAATCAAGAGACCGAATTGAATAGATTGCTAAGACATATAGGTGAGTATTTATTTGAGAGTGGTTGGTTGTATCTTAATTTTTTATTTTGTTGAATTGGGCCGTTTGAATGATGTTAATTTTCACTAGCTGGTTACACCCCTCTATCGATTTGGACCAACTAAAGCCCAAGTGGATCCACTTTCTGATTGCTCAAGTTGGTTCCATCTATTGGGTGAGAAGAAGCACCTCGTTTTAACCCTAAATGGGCTCTAGCTGTTGCCCAAACTCCTAGCCTAGGTCAACCACTCAATTGCTCTTAGACATGTCACCCTTACTTTTTTTTTTCAAAATTTTTCTTAAATATTTTTTAATTTTTTTAAAAATGAATTTTATTCTCAAAAGCTATATATTCTTTATGCACTGATTTTCCTTCACTCCTTTTCTTCTTGTTACTCTATTATTCTTTGATCATTCTTCATGTGTTTGTATTTTATTTATTATTTTTTTTCTCCAACAATGAAGACATCGACCGAATTCATTTTTATTATTTTTTAAATTATATTTTTTGTATTCCTATTTTTGATATTTTTTAAATTCTAATTTTCACTTTATATTTAATATGGGATATTAATTGTGAATTTTATAAAGAAATCGTTTTCAAATGTATAATTTATTAATTTTATGATAATTATTTATAAAAAATATATATAGTTCTTATTATTATTATTTTGAAATTATGTTTTTTTTCTTCTTAAAATATACTTTTAGAGAGTAGAAGAGTAAAAACATTTCTTTTTCTATAAATATATTTTTACTTTGAGAATTTGAAATTTCAAAGACTTCTATTTGAAAAGTAATTTTTGGAAGTATATAAAAGTTAATTAATATATAAAGTCAAATATATATACTGAAACGCTATTGCAGCTAGTGATATTTATATACATATTAATGAAAAAAATCTAATAATTACTCTTGCAACATTTGAGAATTCAAAGTGATTATACTACAGTTTTCACACTTTAACAAAGGTAGAGAACCAGAGATACTTGATAAAAGTGACCAAGAGATTTGTCTGTTTTCTTCTTCAAACACCAATAAGATTATCTTCCACACCTAAAATTCCCTACTTCAACACTTGGTCAGAACTTGAACTAACCCACAATTTCTTTCTCTTTCCTGACTTAAATAACTTACTTTATGTTTTTATTTTATTTAACATAATATGAAAAAAAATAACTAATGGAAATATAAAGAAAAATGTAGACTTAACAATCATATGATTAATGTATAAAATATAACAAGGTTGTACACTTGTTTTAATATAAGGAGAACGGAATTGTTTTAATAAATAGGCAGATTAAAACATACTTGACACATAACTTGAATCCTCTTGGTGATCTTCAACATGGTCAAGGTAGATGATTTTTCAAAGACTTAGAAGGACACAAAAAAACTTTAGTCTATACATATAACTATAAAATTAAAAAATATATATATATAATTAAATTATTTAAGAAAAATATTATAAAAAATTAATTATCACCAATTATTCAATTAATAGATAATGTTTCTATTTTTCAAATAAAATCTATCCACGATTTAGAAAAAAATGATGCACCAATTTTTAGAAAATAAATTATATAAAGAAAAAAATGTGATATATAATATATTATTGATTTATTTCTTTTTATTTTTCTTAATTTGAACCTCTCATTATTAATAAGTAAAGATTATTTTGAACTTTCTCTCTTTCCATTTATTTTTGATTCATTTGATTTTTTTTTACTTATCTCTATAAAATTAATGATTTTGATTTTGATCTTTATAAGATTTTTTTTTTATCATTCTAAAATTTATAAATATTATTTTTTATCATTGTAAAATGAGTAAATTTTGATTTTGATCCCTATTAAATATTTTTTTTGTTTTCATCGCTCTAAAATCTAAACTAACCATTTTTAGTTTCTAATGATATTTTAAGATGAATAAATAACATTTATTTTAAAGACTTATAAATTTTTTTAGAGGTGTTAAATATAATATGATATAAATAATGATTGTAAGTAACACTTAAGACGGTTACTTTATTTTTTAATAAATAAAAAGTAGTTAAAAAATAATCACATAAAAATAGGAATTAAAAACACTAGTTTTAATCTTATAGGGGTGAAAAATGAAGAATTTTTTTATAGAATGACTAAAATCAAAACTTGTTAATTTTATAGCAATTAAAAATATATTTAAGTCTATTTTCTTTATCATAATGTCTTCTACTATGTTAGAATCTTAATCAATTTGCAAATATCTATTTGTTAGTCATCACGAATTTCTTTGCGACATGTTGTCATTATTAATCTTTTTTCATTATAACAAATTGAGAGTTTAAGATAAAAGTTTAAAAATAAACAATTAAGTTATTTATTTGACTCATAGATTATAGTTTAGTATTTATTTTTGTTTGTACTTTTTAATTGTTTAAATTCGAACATGTTGTCTAGAAAATAACCTTATGATCATTTAAGATAAAAAAGTAATAAATAAATTAAAATTGATATTGAATCTCAAAAGGTGCTCTTAATATATTTTTTTAGTTAAACATATTGTGTTGGAATTATGTTACCTATAAAATAACTTTATGAAGAGGACTTGAAATCATGTTGTAAACATCTTGAAATTTATCTAAAACATTATAATTACTATGATCTTGGTGGTGGATTTTTTTTTAAAAATTAAAAATAATTGGAGAAATTTTAACAATCAAATCAAAACCAATCTTTTGGTTGCATATGGAATGAAGTTTTTCAAAATTGAAATAGTTAAAATCTTATATGCTACTACGTCACAAGCTAGATTGAATAGTTTTGCTCTAATTTCTTTTGATAATAATTTTTTAAAGAATCATGATTATAAATGAATTATAGATGATTTTGTAGTTAAAAAAATACAAGAATAATAATACTCAAATAATTATGAGGACATTATTTTTCGGTTCACCCAGAGCACCAAAAAATTTTGGGTTGACTTTGGTTCCCCCATTTAGAAAGGGCCCAAAGAGGAAATATAAATATCAATAAAGCAACAATGACTTAAATATATTTTTATTCTCTCAAATTTGAATTAAATTTATTTTTAATTCTTCAAATTTAAAATTGTTCCTTTTGACCCTCTAATTTTCAAAAATATTATTTTAATTTTTAAATTTAAATTTTATTAAAAAATCTATTAAATAATATTATATAAAATTTACATACTGATATCTTTTTAGTGAAAACATCATATTAAACATAACTAATATTATATAATTGTCTCTATTTATCACTTTTTAATATATTATTAATGATTTAAAAAATAAAAATAAAATTTTTAAAAATTATAAAACTAAAAAAACAGTTTCAAATTTTCGAGACCAAAAACATATTCACCTTAAATTTGATATTTACCAAAAACATATTAAAAACATATTTAATCCAACTTTTTATACATGAAGAAAGCATCGTCTATGAAATTCCAGCAGTAGCCAATGGAAAATGCCTAGTAGTAGCAAAGGAGCCACCATCATTCTCAATGTTTAATGTACATTGTAAATTGATTAAAAAGATTCATTATAGTTAAAATTACATTACATGCTACCACATTTTCAATTCCACTTTTATTTTTTCAGAGAAAACGTTGAAAATAACTTTTTCTTAGAAAATATTTTTAATAATTCAACTAAACATATTTTTAATATTACTTTAAAAAAAATAGAAAACAATCAAACCAAACAACTTTTAAATATAAGTCAAATTTGTGCTAACGGTCAAGGTTTACGACCCAAATATTTCTCCAAATCATTTTTTAAATTGATACAGGTAATATCAATCAAAACCCAAATTAACAAAACTAATTGATTAACACTTATAATAATTAAGTCAACCAAGTATATAGAAGAAAAAACAAAATTCAATTGCTTGTTATAAGAAAAAAAAAATCGAGAATAATGATGGGCTCATGGTACTGAACCTACCTCATTATTTGAAATACCATCATAATCATTGATAAACCCCTTTAAAAGTTCAAACAATGCTTTAAGTTTAACCTACAAACAAATCATGTTATGTTATAATAAGAACTCGCACAAAAAACCAGTTAGGTTAATCTAACATACCTCTTTGTGAAGTAGAAATGCTTGTTCCATTTTTCATAATGTTCTTAATAGTAACAGTTACCATGACCTTAGTAGTTGGAATATCAAGGTTTCCATTATGAAACAATAACTTGAAAGCTTCAACGTAATCATAATATCATTAAATATTGATTTATGAAATTATTTAGATTATTTAAAATTATAGAATATTAAATTTCATAAAAAGTAAAAAATTTGAAAAATTTTATATTTTATATTTGCTTATTTATAATTTTTTTTTCTTTTTTCCTCTTCATTTTTTCTTTCTTTTTTCTTCCTTCCAATTCTTCCTTCTTTCAACCCTCTTATACTACTAAAAAATTGTGAATTTCATTCAAATTTTCCTGCAAAAAGTTTTCGCAGGAGCTTTATGCATTTTTTTTTTGCAGATTTATTTATTATATGCTTTTCTTTTCCTACAAATATAAATCCACAACGAATTCTGATAGAAATCTCGGTAACTCTTGCCGATTTTCATGTAAATTTGAATTTGCAGAAAAATGTTAAATGGTTTTTAAAAAAAATACAAAATTTCACCGGAATTCATAGAAATCTTTTTTTATATACTTTCTTTTTAAAACAAATTTATACACTATTTTAAAATATTTACTAAATAATTCTTGCGGATTTTTCAAATAACACATTTAATTGAGCCATATAACAACTAAAATTATATTATATATAAATTAAAAAATATATGTCGAATGAAATATTTTATGATTCATTTTTAGATAAATGAAGAATTTGACTTATCAAAACAAATTAACTTATTTTAATTCATTTTTTAAGTGAGTTGTCTTAACTTTGACCATTTGTTTAATGTCCAAAACTTTTTGGCCGACCTATCACGAATTAGTTTGTTAAATAAGCTAATCCACTAACCTACTTAAATTAAAATAAAAAACTTCGATTTAAAATAAACTTTAATCTAAATAACCTCAAATCAAAAATAAAAAATTGTTAAATTAATCATAATACGTACAATATTAAACATAATTAAAAGGTGCACAACTTTAAATAATAATAAAAGAAAGTTTTTGTTATTACTTATTAGAGTGAATGTAAATCAGTTAGATGGATATTTTGGTCAATCACAAGTTCAACCTAAATGATTTGTATGAAAATGGATCTGTTAAATTTTTTGACTAATTATAATTTTTTTTATTCAACCCAACTCATTTTAAAATGTCTTGAATTGACCCATAAATTAAAATACACTTTGACAACTCTAATAAATGTGAACCACCAGGCCATCAGGATGGACAAAGACCATGGAGTAGAGATGTGCCAAGGTCAAAGGGGAATGCGACAACCACCTTAATTTGAGTATTCCAAAAGAGAAATAGGTACTGATGAGAGAAAGTGTAAAATAAAGAAGGTATGAAGAGAAATGGGTACTGATAAGAGTATCTTGATGGTAGTAAGAACAACCTTAATTAGAGTATTCCAAAAGAGTTAATAGCTTTTCTTAAGCTAACAACTTTTGTACTTGATCAGCACCAGCTCACTTCCATTATATATAACATCATGAAAGTCTATTTGAGCCAAAACCAACTCTCGAAATATATTATGGATTCAATTGGTTTGTGAACTCAACTATTCCGAAAATCAAATCTCTGGTCAAATTGCTTCCATACTTCCTAGAATATTGAGCAAGGATTGGATAGCTTTGCTATGCTTTCTAGATCTGAATGAATAAATAAATAAACACAAAACAAAAAAGAGTACATAACAAAATCTCTTGTATTTCATTAGATGCTTTGAATTTACAATCATAATATTGTGTCCCAGTTACATTACATATTATTCTAAAATAAAATGAAAATAATACCTAAACACAAAAACTAAATCTAGTGTCGTCTCACTTCAAATCAAATCAATGGAGAAGAACAATGTCGCAAGGAAGTGAAAGAGGGAACGCAGTCTCCTCCTCTTGCTCGAGGCTTAAATGATGAGTGTGACAACCATCCCAACAAAGACTTATAAATATATAAAAAAAAAAGTGTTAATAAATATAAAAAAGTACTAATAACATATTTTTCTAACACAATTTACATAATTTGTGATAAATAAAATAATACAAAAAAGTGTTAGTGATACACTTTTCTAACATATTATTTATTATGAATTAAAATTTATTAGGACATTCAAAATCATGAAATGGTCTACAGAATTTATAAATTTATAAATTTTAAAATATTTTAAATAATCGATGTAAAAAAAATAGAATCAATAGTAAAAAAAAAAAAAATTCTATCATGTCGAATTTTCATGTGATCACATCATTGGAAAGTTGTGTCTGTTTTTCTATTTTTGGGTATATATAAATTTTAATTTTAATACTTTTTTGGGTGAACGAATACAAATTTTAATATGACCCTATCTTTATTTAATTTATACGAAAAGAAAAACAGTTAATAGATGATCATATTTAGATAATATGTCCACGTAAAAATTCAATATGGGCGAAATCGTTCTTTTATTGCTAGAATTATATATATATATACAGTGACGGATCCACGTTGAGACCAGTGGGGCAAGTGTCCCCACTACTATTTCACACATACATAATTTTTATTTTAAAAAAATAATATTTTAAAAATAAAAATTATATTTTAATAAAATAAATATATATGTTTAAATTATTATATGTATAAAATATAGATTCGTAAAAGAGATTTATTTATTTGATGTTTGTCAAATTTTTGAAAAAGATTAATTCTCTTATGTGATAAAAAATACTCTTTAATAACGAATCAAATTTCTTAAAATATTTAATTATAATAT